AACATTGACTCTCGTCTCAGCGCCGCGCACAGCCGTCTTAAAAATGTACAAGCGTTTCGCGGATTGATGGCGGATGAATTTCACAATGTGGTTTTCGCCTGAGCGCCGCGCACATGAATTTTAAACATTGCAAGAACTTCGCGGATTGAGGGCGGCTCGGTTTCAAGATGTTGATCTCGCCTCAGCGCCGCGCACATTCGTTAAGAAGGATCAACAGCTAACGTTCTAAGGGCAGTTTCTTACAAAATGTATTTTTGGTCTTAGCGCCACGCACAGTTGCTTTAAAAATATGCAAGGGTTTCGCGGAATCCCCTGACGTTTGAAAACGATTCAGGATTGTCAGGGCGCAACACTTCATTGAGTCGCGGTGCCGAAATCCTAGAAACGTTGTTCTGGCACGATTCGGGATCGTCAAGACGCAACAATCATAGTGTCGTTGGAAGCCCGAGAATGGTGTTTGGCACGCTCCGGGATCTTCAAACGCTTCTCCCAACGGGGCATTTCCTTCAGTGGAAATAAATCCAAGTAGGTGCCCATGCAGAGGGAGCTTGGAGGAAGGGTTTACACTGGTCCTCCTCCTCCTCCTCCTCCTCCTCCTCCCGCATCCTCTAGCCTGGCCTCCTCATCTCCTCCTCATCCTCCTTGAAATCGATCCTACCTCGATCACCACTCCCGTCCTCCTCATCCTCCTCCTCCTCCTCCTCCTCCTTCCGTCCTCAGTCCTACTCCTCCTCCTCCTCCTCCTCCTCCTCCTCCTCCTCCTCCTCCTCCTCCCCCCACGTCCCCCTTCGTTCCTCTCTCCCCGCTCGTCCCCCCTCCTCCCCCAGAAGACACAGGGCGGGTGGATCCGAACCTCTCCATCGCCCGAACTCTCGACGTCACGACTCTTTGACAACGCTGACCCCTTGAGGTCTCGACACATTCATTCTCTGGGAACGGATTCTCATCCTGAGCTGTTTTCTCACGCGCGATCCCGGGGCCCGGCGAGGTCCCCCAGAGCCCGAGAATAGCAACAACAACGAAAACCTCCCGCCGCTAATTTCTCCACTGCGCGATGGGGGCTGGGTCCTCCTCGCCCCCCGCCCCCCTCCCGATCCGGGCGCGAGGCCGCGGCCACGGCAGCTCAGCCCGGGAGGCTGGAGCTCGTGCTCTTCCTGGTGACCAGCTCGCCCAGCAGGCTCTGCTCGCGGGAGGTGTCCTTGCCCTGCCGGGAGTGGGACGAGAATTTGGTGCGAGGAGGAGGGAAGCTCTTCCATCCATGCAGGGAGATCTCCGCTTCGAGGCCCGAGGCTCTCGGACGTTTTCGTGGACGCTCTACCCAGACCCCCGTCGTAATGACTTTTTCATTACGTCGACCCCCAAAGGTCTGGACCCTTTCCTCATGGCCGGCTTTGCATCCCGGGTCGTTTCTTGACGCTCCCGAGGCCCGGTGAGGGCCCCCGGAGGCCGAAAATTAGGAAAAACCTCCCGCCGCGATTTTTTCACTCTTGATTTTAGGAGAAGCCTCCCGAAAATTAGGGGAAAACCTCCCGCCATCTTTGTCACTACTCGAGGGGGCCTGGGCACGGCTTTGAGGCCTCGCGGGGCTCCCCGGCAGCCGCGCCTCGCCGAGAGCGCTCCCGGGGGCGCCCCGGGGGCGCCCCCGAGCGGCCGCCGCAGGGCCCGAGCTGTGGCCCGAGGAGGCCCCGAAGCGCCGGCATGGGCGGGCAGTGCGGCGCCCGAGGGCGAGGCCGGCAGGCTCCTCTGGGGCAGGCGGGGGCCGCTCGGGCCCCGAGGTCGGCGAGGAGCGGGCGACGCGTCCTCCCTCCCCGGGCCTATCCTTAAGTCGGGCCTGTCCCCCTACAGGGGATTTTCGACGAGAAACAGAAAAATATCTGGGGTATTCTGGGGGTATTTTTTATTTGTCGTCGAAAATCCCCCTGTAGGGGGACACGCCCGACTTAAGCCTGTCCCCCCTGAGGTTGCCCCGGGATGGCAGGGAGCAGGGCAGGCCGAGACAGACCAGCCATGGCCAGCCACGGCCTCCTCCTCCTCCTCCTCCTCCTCCTCCTCCTCCTCCTCCTCCTCCTCCTCCTCCTCCTCCTCCTCCTCCTCCTCCTCCTCCTCGCCCGAGGAGGGGCGATCCAGGCTTGGCCGGCCATGGCTGCTCGTTGAGGGCAGGTCTCTGGCCAACCTTGGGGGGCTCCCTCCTGCTTGGTCTGCGTAGGGCCCCAAGCCCCCTGAATCCCGAAGACGAAAAAAAAAAACGCGTTTGTCAAGGGGCCCAAGGACACACAAATAAAACATACACACAAGTCCCATGAGTCCCCATAGTTTCCCACATCTTCTGGATTTTCGTCTTCCCCCCCCCCCCCTCTGCCCATGTTTTCCCCTATTTTCCTGGGAGTCGACGATGAATTGTGTCTGTGTCTGTGTTTTCCCCTCCTGATCTTGCTCGCCACTCTCCTGCGAAGACCAAGCCCAAGCGTGCGATGCCCGGATTTTTCCAATGCGGGGCCCCAGGGAGTCCCAGCCCTTTCCCCGGGACTGATTCTTCGCCCCGAAACTTCTTGGACGGTCCTGGGGCACGGCGAGGGCCCTCAGAGGCCGGAAACGATCCAAAAAGCCCCTCGTCCCGACTTCTGCCGCGACGCGAGCGCGCCTGGGAACGAACTGGCCACCTCGACATCCCACAAACGGTGCATGCGCCGGCCCGAGCCGTGGGATCGGGGCGAAGGCGCTCCCCCAGCTCTGCCCCCAGGGGAGGAGGAGGAGGAGGAGGAGGAGGAGGAGGAGGAGGAGGAGGAGGAGGAGGAGGAGGAGGAGCAGGAGCAGGAGGATGATGATGATGATGAGGAGGAGGAGGAGGAGGAGGAGGAGGAGGAGGAGGGGTACGACGAAGATCGGCCGACGGCTCCGCCGGCGCCCACGCGCCCTGAGATCTGAGCCCTGCAGCTCAGTCACCCCGAGCGTCGCTGCCCGGTGTCGAGCCCCGGGGCCATCCCAGATCGAGCCGGCTCTGCGGGAAGTGCGGGTCTAGGGGGAAAACACACCTACCTCGCTTTTGACCACCCTCGCTTCCAAGAGATACCAAACGATGCCAAACTACGGCCTGTACTGGTCAGGCCGCTTGACGAGGAGGCGCGTGGTATGACTTGGTTTTGCCTGGAAGCGAAAGCGGGGTAGGCAATTCGCGCTCTGAGGGTCTGCGGCGACTCCTCCTGTGATTTCTCGCTTCTGCTCGCAGCGCGGGCTCTCAGGGCGCACCGATCTGGTGCCCCCAGGGGCTCTGGCCTGGCCACGACCTGGGGCACGCGCGCCCCAGAACTCCGACGTCGTTGGAGGGGCCCTGGGACACACAAATAGACACACACACACACACACACACGAATAGAAATATTCCCCATATTTTCCCATATTTTCTTGGTTTTTGTCTTCCCCCCCATTCCCCATATGTTCCATATCTTCTGGGGAGTCGACGATTACTTGTGTCTGTGTGCTTCTTTCCCTCCTGAGTCGTGATGTGTCCAGTGTGGGCCCCTCGAGGTCCAGACCTCTCCCCGGCACCGGTCTCTCGTCCCGAATCGGTCTTTGACGGGCCCCCGAGAGCCCCGAAAATGGCAAAAAACAAAAACAAAAACAAAAAACAAAAAAGAAAAAAAAAAAAAAAACACGCCTGTCGTGATCTCTTCCTGCCGCGGCATTCGGAGGCGGGAGGCCCCCGCCACCTGCAGCTGCAGCTCGCAGATCTGCTCCAGTGCCGCGGTGATCGAGGCGTCCAGGCTCGCCCTGTCCTCCGGCGGCGCCGCCCCGGCGGCGCCGCCCGCGGCGGCGGCGCCGCCCGGCGGCGGGCCCTCGCCGGCCACCGCGCCAGCAGCGCAGCCGGGCGCGCAGGCGCCGCCGCCGCACGCCGCCCGCCGCCGGGGGTGCCTGTGCCGCGCAGGGGGGGCCGCCTTGGGCGGCGGCGCTGGCGCCCGCGGCCGCCGCCTCGGCCGCCGCCTCGGCCGCCGCGTCCCAGCGGCGGCCGGCGGCCCTGGCCTCGGCAGCCGCCTTCTCGGCCGCGGAGAGGTCTGGCCGCTGCCGCCACGCGAAGCGCCCGAAGTCTTCCCGGGCGACGCGGCCCTCCACGGGCGCGCCCTGCACGAGGGCGCGGGCCATGCCCGCGCACGCGTCGGCGTCCAGGCTGCGCCCCATGAGCTCGGACATCTTGGAGCAGAACGCCGCGCCCTGGAGGTCTGCGGCAACCAGGGCCCCGTCGTCGTCCGCGTCCAGCAGGGCGAACGTGCTGACCACCCAGACCTTGTGGTCCAGCCACTTGTCCCACGCGGTCGGGGCGCGCGCCTCGAGCCTGCCCGCTGGCCGCCGCGCAGACTGCACCGTCGGAGACGACCACGAGGGCACCAGGTCAGGCACGGTCGTCGACTCGCCGCTCAGCAGCAAGAGCTGCCTGTTCTCCTGCGAGCCCGCGCTCCAGCCCGCGGGGCTCCTCGGCGGCTTCGACGCGGCCGTGGGGCTGCCGCCGCACGCCGCGAGGCCGCCGGGCTCCGAGGCACGCACTGAGCGCCGACCGTGGCAGTACGCGAACCTCCGCGAGGGCGACGATGGCTCGGAGACGGCCGCGAGGTAGACGTCCTGCACCTGCACAACCGGGGAGTGCGTCCACGCCCGCAGCCTCAGAGCCCTCCCCCGGACCCCTGGGGAGCGGCGCGTTGGATAGGTATCCCCGATGAGCCCCAATAGCGGTGTGATGGCGGTAAGAGAGGGGCACGGGATGGCGGCGATGCGTCCTTTACGGGTGGCGGTACCGCGGCGGGGCCCTGAGCGCAGGGCCCCCGCCACTCCCAGGAACTTGTTGCCCCAGGGTGTTGGGTGGGTTGTTCAGATCGGCCGAGCGCCCGAACCCAAATGGATATACTTACCTATACGACCACCCTTTCGGGTAATATGAAGGGGCCCTGGGACACACAAATAAATACACACACATAAAAAGATGCCCCCTATTCTCCCATGTGTTCTGGGTGTTTGCCTTCCCCCCCACTTCCCACATTTTCTCCCATATTTTCTTGGGAATCGACGACTCCTTGTGTCTGTGCGTTTTTTCTCCTGATAAATAAGGAGGCTGGGGGAAGGGAAAGGAGCCGACTGCGGGCAACCGCGAGGGGTGACGACGACGACGCGGGCGGCGCGCCCTCGAATGGGCGACCGGCGCGCGGTGGCGATGCTGCGCCGCGGTGTGCTGTCACGATCGCCCCCCGTTGTCGATCTCGCTCGGTCGATCTCCCCAGCGATCTCACGGCCAGTCTTAGTATCGATGGATCCGGCGATCGATCCCATTGGCGACATCCCACAGCCGATCTCCTGGTCGATCTCACGATGGATCGCACTCCACCGATAGCCGAGATCACGATCGATCTCACGATCGGTCTTACGATCGTTCTTACTATCAATCTCACTCGACCGATCTCACGATCGATACAACACTCTGTCTCTGAAGCGATCTCAAAGGATCGCACAATCGAACTCACAATCGATCCCACGATCGGTCTCACTGTCGATCCCGCATTCGATCGCACTGTCGACCTCACTATCGGTCACACTCTCGATGCAACTGTCGATCTCACAGCCGATCTCATTGCCCCTCCCGTCCAACGATCGATGCAAGCACCGATCTCACGATCGAACTCACGACCGATACAACCATCAATCAAAATGCCGATGCCACCACAAATCGGAAAGTATCGATCTCACTAGCGATCTCACGCTCGATGGGGACACCACCGGGACACCACGGCGGCACACCATTGGACACCACGGGACACCGCGGGACACCACTGGGGCACCGCGGGACACCACGGCACACTACGAGCCACCAGTGGAACGCCACGGCGGGACACCGCGGGACACCATCGCGACAACGCGGGACACCACGGCGGGACCCCCCGCCACCGCGCGCCCACCAGAGGGCTGGACTTTTGCATCCGAATCGCCCTAGCGACGGCGGGATCACCCCTCTCGCGCGCCCACGCAGCTCCGCCTCGCTCGCACGCACGATTCGAGCACGAACACGACACCGATTTCCCCGTGGGGGGCCCCCCGTTCCACTGCGCTCTCCCCCCACCAAACTCCGACGCGTGGACGCACGAGGGCGTGTCCTCGATGAGCCCCACTGGCGGCGCGATGGCGGTGCAGTGGCATGATTTGGCGGCGGCGCGCCCTCTCCGGGCGGCGGTGCCGCGGGGCCCTGCCAGCAGGGCCCCCGGCCACTCCCAGGAACTCGATGCCCCCCCCCCAGCAGCGACGGGAGCGAGGCCGGAGCACCCGAGCTGGGGCGGGGGGAGCCAGGGCCCCCCAGACGCTGCGAGCGCCGGCCCAGCCGACCCCACCTCCCAGACCTCCTCGACGTCCTGAAAAATCACGACGGGAGGTTTTTCCCCATTTCCGGCTTCCGAGGGGCCCTTACCGGGCCTCGGGGCCGTCAGATAACGACTCAGGATGCAAAACCGGCCCCGGGGAAGGAGTCCAGACCTCTGGGGGTCGACGTTGTGAGAAAATCACGACGTCGGGGGCCTGGGCTCGCTCCACGAAAACGGGACCCGGGGCCCCCCTGGACGCGGCGAACGCAGGGGCCGCCCGGCCTCACGTGGGCACCGCCGAGCCAAGCGGGACGCGGGCTACGTTCGCTGCACGGGACTCGACGCCCCAACTGCTCGCTCTGCGCCACCGCTTCAACCCGTGCCGCACCGCCCACGCGCACGAAGGCAAACAGGATGCCACCCCGAGATCCCCTCTGCTCGGGGGCCGCCCCTGAGCCCAGCCCAAGACGTGACCCAAGGCAACCGGCGACGGCCCCTGAGCGGGGGAACATTCCAAATGGCCGGAAAAAACGGGAGGGCGGCTCAAGCGCCACATCCCAGCCCTTGGGCACCCGACCCCCCCTCTCCCGCCAAAGGGGCCCTCGCCCACCGCGGTGGCCGCAAGGCCCCCCAGGGGGGCGGGCGCGGGATCGGGCCCCCCCCCCCCCGGGCGCGCACAGGTTTGAGCCGCCCATGCCCTGGTCCGACCGCGTGGCCAATGCCAGCGGCGCAGTTTCGAAGTCCTGCCCAACCTCCATATGCCCTTCGCGGCTGGGGCACCCCCCATCACACTCGCGCCCGCCCCCGCCCGCGGCGGAAAGATGGAGGCCCGCGGACAGGAAGCTGGCCCCCGCCGCGGAGCCCCCCCCCCCAGAGGGCTGAACCAAAACGATCCCGGAGGCGCCCCAGGACACCGCTCAGCGCCCCGCTCTGTCCGGCAGGAGGGAACGCGGGTTCGGGGGGGGAAGGGCCCCAGGCGCAGGGAAGTCTGCGCCGCCCAAACCCTGGGCCGACCGCGCGACCAAGGCAGGACACGGCTCGCCGAGCCGCGAAGGCAAGACCCCAGGCGGCCATCGGTGGCCACCCACCCCTCGGCGGGGGCCCCTACCGAGGTCCCAGTCGAACTAACCAGGCCGCATCGCGCCGAACGCCACGGCGCCGCGGCTCGCGGGGCCGCGGGGGCGAGACCCCGCGCCGCCAGCGCTCGCGACCGACAGGGCGCAGCACGCGGAGCCGCGTGAGGATAGGGTCGCCGCGCCGCTGCGCCCCAGCACCGATCTCTGCGCCGATCGCTCCTCCTCCGGCCCCCCCGCGGCCGTCGGCGAGTCTGTCGGGCGGAACTGTCGGCAGAGCTGCCAGCGAAACTGCCAGCGTGGCTGTCGGCGGGGCCGCGGGCCGCCCGTCGTCGGCGAGCGCGGCGCCGCGCCCCCGGCGCGGTCTGACAGCGCGCGGCCGCCCTTCGGCTGCCCCTCGCGGCCGACGGCGCCCCCTCCGCGCCTTGCTCCCCAGAACCCCTCGAGTCATGAAAAAATCATGACGGGATGTTTTTCCTAATTTTCGGCCTCCGGGGGCCCCCACCGGGCCTCGGGAGCGTCAAAAAACGACTCGGGATGCAAAGCCGGTCATGGGGAAAGGGCCCAGACCTCTGGGGGTCGACGCAACGAAAAAATCAGGACGTCGGGGATCTGGGCTCCGCGCCCGCGCGCGGGCGCGGCCCCCGCCCCGAGGGGTCGAGTGGAACCTCGCCGCCGCCGGCGCCGCCCCTTCCACGGCGGCCGCCCCAGCTCCTCTGCCAGCGCGCCGACGCGGCTCCCGCCCCGAAATGGTCGGGTGGAGTCCCGCCGCTGCCGGCGCTCTCCACGTCGGTCTGCCCGCTGCTGGTCGATCTCGCGCGGGGGGCCGCCGCGCGCCGCGGCGGCGCCTGCGGGCCGCCAGCCGCGGGCGATTCTACCGGCATCAGCGGAGCCGTTGGGCTCGGCTCGCGGCCGCCCCCAGCCCCTCGGCGGAGCGGCTGGCGAGGCCGTCGCCGGTCGCGGCATTGTCCGGACTTGCTGCTGGCCCGAGCTGCGCTACAAATCCACCGTCGACCAGACAGGCAGAACTGCCCACAGCGGCCACAGCGCCGCCCCACAAACTCGCATTGCCGGCGATCTGCGATACCCAGACAAGCGGGTCCCCCCCAGGAACTTGGCACCCCCGCTTTAGCGATGGGCGTGGGACACCTGGAGGGCGACCGAGGCCCGCGGCGCCCGCGGCCACCTCCCGAGGCGGGCGCCCTCTTCGCGGGGGCTGCCCCGTGGCCGGCTGCCTGGAGGGCCTGCGTCTCGTTGGTGGATCCGGCGGCCGCCGCGCTGACGGACCCCAGTCGCTCGCGGCCGGGGCCGCCCTCAGCGCCGCTGCGACGGCGCCGCCGACGAAACGCGCGCCGCTCCTGAGCGGCAACCCCAAATGAGCATGCCCCCCACGCGCGCGCAAACAAGCCTTAAGACGACATGTTGCCAATAGCTCCTGCTAACTCTGCAATATCAGCACTCCCGCGTGCCCAGCACGGGCCGTTGGGTCCGTCTGCGCGCGGACCTGGCCGCCGCCGCCGCTGGCCATCGAGCCAAACTTCCCCCGGGCGCGCGGTCGCGGTCGATCGAGCCCGCGCTGCACGGCTGCACTCGAGCGCGGCGTCGCCGACGCACCCGACGCTGCCTCGCCGCCCGAAGCGGCCCCGCTCGCCCCCAGGGAATGCACGACCCAGGCCGCGCGAGCTAACGTCGGCGACACTGAAGCTCCAGTCGCATCGGTGCCGTTGTTGAAGTACTCTCCGCCCTCGAACGGCACCCACCCGACGCGCGCGCCACCCGCGCTCTAGCACGCGCACTGGCACCCGCCAGTAAGGTTCAGGGCGAAACCTTTTTGGCGGTGTCAAGCCCTCCTGCGTCAGAGAGCCGATGTTGCAAGTGCCACGACGAGGTCCTGCCTGGCGATGCAGACCTCGTCGCCAACCCAATCGTGGGCGTTGCGCTCCTGCAGCTGACGGCGGACGCAGCCCCTCCTGGGGCGCATGCCGTGCGCGCGGACGGGGGCATGACCTTCCGCGCGCGCGCCTGGCTGCCGCCGCCGCCAGCCATCGAGCAACGAGCGCGCAGTCGCGGTCGCACGAGTCGGCGTCGCACGGCCGCCCTCGAGCGCGGTGGCGCCCCCCCGTTCTCGGGCACGGCACGCGTCGGTGCACGTGTCGTTCGAAATCCCCGCGACCGCGCCTGCGCGTCCACTTCGTCGTTAGCGAACACGATG